GTTTCCCACTCCTGAGAGTAATGGCTATATTAAGAGGTCCTATAATGTCCAGGTCCTGGAGCTTCAGGAAGTGTTTCTGGTGTATGCTGTGTGCATTCTGCTATTGTGTTTTGGTTACTTTTTACCTTAGGTCAGTTCTCTGCAGAGTTTCTCTTTGCCTGCAGTGGTTAGTATTTTCACTAGGTGTGTTTAGGTCTGCTTGTTAAAAGAGGCTAGATCCTATTTCTCCTAGAGCTGAAGCTCTGCAGCACTCTGTGGTGAGTAGACTGGATGTATGCAGGAGGTTTGTGCTGGTCTTTTGGGGAAGAGGCCCACTACTCTTCTGACTCTCAGGCACACTTGCCCTAGTTCAGAAGACTTGCAGAGTGCAGAGGGGTGGGGTTGGTATAAGTGGCTCAAGCCTCCACTGTGGGGTGCTGTGCTGCTCTGAAGTCCCTCCATGCTGATGGCAGAGGAAGGTGAAGAATGGCATCAGTGGGCTCTCTGGTCCTCAGAGAGTAGAATGTATACCCACCGCTGCTCAGGAAACCCTCACAGAAGAGCAGACAATCTCCCCTCGTGAGGTGTCCCAGGCATCCCTCAGATCACTGCCTTCAACCTATCTGTGTCTGAGTTGTCTGCCCACCCAGTCATGCGGTGCTCCTGGGTTTTATCTCATGTACACTGTCTGTGTTTCAAAACTCCAAATTTTAGTGCCTTACAGACTCACACTGATCCTCGGAGGAGGGTCTGGCCAAGCTGTGGCTGGTGCTAGTTTGTCCCAGAAGAGCAGTCACACAAAGGTGCAGGAGGCTTGGAGTTTATTACCATAAACTCGAGTTGTTCACCAGAAAGGACCTGGGAAGGACTGAGCCTGGCGACAGCACCAGTGACTTTTTGACAGAAGATGAGGACGGGAAGCCAAGGCTCACACCAGGGAAGGGCCCTGGGGACAGAGAAGAGATGGAAGTGGCCCAGGCGTTCACAAGCGTGGGAAGAAGCAGTTGAGTTTGTCAAAGAAGAAGTTCAAAAGTCATCATCGTAAAGCTAAGAACTTCAGCTCTCTTAAACACTGTGGTTAATAAACGGCTGCTGGAGAAAGCACATGTAGAGAGCCTGAGAGTCCTTCAGACACTCGACCCCGTGTTCCTCTTCATCGTCTGTGGTGCATCCTCTCAGCTGCTAGGGTGTCCCAGGCCCTTCTCCATCCACTCCATGTTGGTGGGCTGAGGGTCTGGCCCCCAGGCTCAGGGGCACACTCCCCGTCCCCAAGAAACAGCAGGGACCCCGAGGGAAGAATTACGTCTGGACATGGCTTCTAAGTGGTCCTCAGTGAAGCCTAGGGGTCCGTCAGGCTCACTCAGCGTCTGAGGAGAGGCCTGGCGAGGCCTCACCCCAGCTGGACAACACCAGAGGACCACACTGCGTACAACAAATGCCATTATTTATTTTGATGTTTTCAAAAATCAAAACGTTTTCAAACACAACTAAGATATAAAATACAGCATAAAATGAGATTTATACCTATTTCCCACATAAAGCAAAAAAATTTTCAGAAAAAAAAAAAAAAGGTGCAGCAAGAAGCCAAAGCCCAGGTTACCTGCCCTCAGCAGGTGTCTTGGCTCATATGCTAATGAACGGGGCAGCACAATATTGTCCACAGGCTCTACTGTCCCTAGAGAGGCAGTGCCACCTCTCCCAAATACATTCCTAGAAGGAGAACTGTCTCCCACTGCCACCCAGGGAATCCTCAGAGCACACTGTTCACTGTCTGCTCCTGAGCCTTTGCCCTCCTCCACAGGAGCATCTCTACACCCACCAGGCTCTACCTGGAGATGTTGCAGACTTCTAAAACTTTGGTCTCTGAGCTCTGCTACTTCTAAAAACTTGGGAAAATCAGCCACTCTCATTTTCCCTATCAGTGGTTTTAGGGAAGTGCTTTTCTTGTTCTATGCCCTGCACTCTATTCATTCTGTCCTCTCTCTCTGATCAGGGCTCCCTCTCTTCTGCAGCTCTCATGATTCCTTTCTCCCCCATATCACACCTCTGCATCTTCTAGTCTTCAAGTTGTGGCTTCTTTTCTCCCTCTAGTTAGGCAGTTTCTTCTCTCAGTTCCCAGATTGATTTCCTGGGTGTTTAGAATGATTTGATATGTATCTAGCTATGCTGGATGGACAAGGCAAATATAGGGTCCTCCACTACTCTGCCATCTTAACTCTTACTCTTTTATTCTTAAAGTACAGTTTTGCCAGGTAAAATATTCTTGTTTGGCAATTTTTTTTCAGTGTTTTTTTGTTTTTGTTTTGTTTTTTTGACAGAGAGCATGAGTAGGGAGATGGCGGAGAAGGGCAGAGGGAGGAGTAGACTCTCCACTGAGCAGGGAGCCCGATGATGGGCTTGGTCCCAGGGCCCTGGGATTATGATCTGAACCAAAGGCAGATGCTTAACCAACAGAGCCACCCAGAGGCCCTTCTCCTGTTTTAAAATAATTTTTATTTCTTTACTTTTATCTTTTAGGTTTTTGTTTTCATTTATTTTCTGAGTTTATTTTGTTCATGTATTGCTCTCCTAATTTTCTTTAGTTATCTGTGTGCTCTTTTTAGCTCATTGAGCTTTTTATTTTTTTAATTATTTATTTATCTATTTATTTATTTTCATTGAGCTTTTTATTTATTTATAAATATATTTTTTTAAGGTTTTATTCATTTATTCATGAGAGACACAGAGAGAGAGAGAAAGAGAGAGAGAGAGAGAGAGAGAGAGAGAGAGAGAGGGAGGGAGGGACACAGGCAGGGGGAGAAGCAGGATCCATGCAAGGAGCCCGATGTGGGACTCGATCCCAGGACTCCAGGATCATGCCTTGGGCCAAAGGCAGGCGCCAAACCACTTAGGCACCCAGGGATCCCCTTCATTGAGCTTTTTAAGGATAATTTTTTTTTTTAATTCTCTGTCAGGCAGTTCATGGAGCTCCATTTTTGGCACTGGTTACTGGAACTTTTTAGTTTCCTTTGGTAGTGTTATGTTTGCCTGATTATTTGTGACTTTATAGCCTTGCACTGATGTCTGTGCAACAAAAAGAGCAAGAACTTCTTCTATTCTTTACAGAGTGTTTTTGGGAGGTAAAGACCTACTCCTGAAGGTCACCAGGAAACAAGCCTGCCTCCAGGGGTACAGTTGAGCAGAACCAGGGCCAGATCACGGGGCTGCTTCCAGGTCTACAGTTAGGTCAGTGGCTGGCTGGTTTATTACTGGGGGCATCAGCAGGCATAGCTTGTGCTGGTTACCCAGGTGGGTAGGCTACCTCTGAGTCCATAGTTGGCAGGCCTGTTCCTTGGGACACAGATTGGCATGTCTCCTCCCAGCTGCCGGGGTGGACAAGACCGACTCTGGGATCACATTTGAGCAGTTGGAGCTGGTTATGGGGTTGCTTCTAGGTCTACAGTTGGATCAGCAGTCAGTGGGCTTGTTGCCAGGGTCACAGGGAGGTGTCATCCCTGCCTCAAGTCCATTGGGGGGCAGGGTTGGTACCAGGACAATGGATGGGTGGGGCTAGAACATGTACATGGGGTAATAGAGCTGCTCCTGGGTCTGTAGTCAGGTCCTAGGGCAGGAGTATGCCTTCTCAAAGAGTCCTCTGTCTTGGGCTCTACTGTGGTGTTACAACTTTCTACCTGGATTTTGAAGCTCCCATAGTGGCACTTTTGTTTGTGGATGTTTGCCAAATTCATGTTTTTTTGGCAGGGGAATGAGGGCTGGAGACCTCTTGTTCTGCCGTCTTGTTTAGCCATCCCTTAGCTGCTGGCTTTGTTGAATGCTATTCACTTCACACCTCTTTTCAAATTCAAAGGAAAACAAAATAGGAAAATGCCATTTTCTTTCTCTACAGGAAATAATTTATCTTTAAACTACTAATGCCAAAGCCTTGGTTTAAATTATTTATTTAACTGCTCATCCTTTATAGGAATCATTCCATTGAAATTTTGAGATTTTAGATGAGAAAAACTGAAGAGTTGAAATGATAGTACTTTGGGTTGGAGTTGGGACCATATATTGTATAGGCTTTGGGACATACACTTGGTAGACCTCAGTTTATAAAGCAATAGCAGTAAAGTAAGTGCTGTATGCCTGGAACTATGCAATCCTTAACAGTTCTTTTTTTCTCCTGTCCACTTCCCTCAGATGCTGAAGGAAGCATAGGTCTGGGCTCTGCAGAAAAAAAAAACCCACAAAACTTCATATAAAGTCTCATAATTCCACATGCCTCTCTTGTCCTTCTTTGTATCTTTTTTTTGTTCCAAATTTTGCATTTCAAAGTCTCAAAGAAGTAAGCAGCAGTGACCCATTTTTCAGAGAGCAAGGTAAGAAAATAAATAGGCCAAGCTAAGATTCATCTTAGAGAAAAATGAAAAGGGGACATAGTGAGAATATTCAAATATTAACCATTTTTGTTCCTTCACACACAGTCATCTATGTTTTATTTGTGCTTTTCCTGTAATTTCTCATATAGTTTCTTCTGCATGTTGATATTCTTATCTGTGAAGGCCACCTGCTCAGCTGAACATCTTGGCTGGAAGTGATTGCTCCTCATGCTTTTCTGGGGGTAGCACGTATAGTCTAACTTACTATGTTCATATCTTTCTTACTAAATCAGGCAAGAATCATGCCAATTTTCTACGGCCTACAAAGCCTGGCTTCTCAAAGTATAATCTTCAAGCCAGCAGCATACACATGATTGAGAGCTTCTTAGAAATTGGGCATCATGGGCTCTGCTACAGACCTATTCAATGAGAATCAACATTTTAGCAAGATCCCCAAATTTATTGTATGATCATTAAAATTGAGCCTTTGTTAAAATCAGTGGGCTTGGTATTTTACATTATATTATCCAAGAACCATCTTATAACACACTAACTAGCAATGCCCAAGGACTTATTTTTATTCATTTACTAGAAGCTCTTGCCAGTTATAACATTGTTATTCTATTATGCTTTAAATATTTTGGGTAATTTGGATACCATTACCTTTTTCATTGCAGGTCTTAGTCATCAAAGATTGAGCACGAGTGTCTTTTTCAAGTTCATTTCTTCCATCAAGTACTTGTCTGTTTTTTTTAATTGAAAAAAGGGATTAAAAAGAAAGGATGGAGTTAATATTGAATACTTGCAAATTTCTGAAGTTTTAAAAAATGTAATAAAAACATTTCCTTGGAACCTTTCAACAATACAGTCGTTTAAATACCATAATGTTAAAAACACTGAAAATTGTTTTCAATTTTTCCCATCATCAAATAATTTATAGGACATTTTTGAACAATTAAATTCAAATTTAAGATACAAATAAAATGTTTTACATATATGATTTTCAAAAGAAGTAACAGGAACAAAATGAGTCTCTTAAACTGCTGGGATTTAGACTATTAATATGTATGGTAAAATATTTCCTATTAAATAAATTTTATTTTCCCAGTTTTAAAAGTAATCTATGACTGTAGAAAAATTTAAAAACTGCAGGAAAAAAACATTAACATAATTCAAATATCCAGAGTTCTCACCTGGATAATTAGCTCCTATACTTATTATTATGCATTTTTAAAAACAAAGCTGAGATAATATTGTCTTATAAAATTGTATATAGCTCTCATACATTTTTGTTAAATTTTTTATTTAAATTATTTTACATTAAAATGAACTTTTTTTAAAAAAAAGATTTTATTTATTTACTCATGAGAGACACACACAGAGAGAGAGGCAGAGACACAGGCTGAGGGAGAAGCAGGCTCCATGTGGGGAGCCTGATGTGGGACTCGATCCAGGGACTCTAGGATCATGCCCTGGGCTGAAGGCAGCGCTAAACCACTGAGCCACCCAGGCTTCCCTAAAATGAACTTTTAAAGGTATAGTTTCTAGGGGCATCTGGCTAGCTCAGTTGGAAGAGAATGTGACTCTTGATTTCAGGATTGTGAGTTTGAGCTTCACTTTGGGTATAGAGATGATGTAAAAATAAAAATCTTAAAAAAAATAGATATCTATTCTATGAATTTAACAGATGTATAGATATATGTTACTGCTGGGGTGCCTGGGTGGCTCAGTTCGGTTAAGCAGTCTGCTTCTGATTTCAGCTCAGGGAATGATCTCAGGGTTCTGGGATAGAGCCCCCCCCCCCCCAGTAAGGCTCTGTGCTCAGCAGGGAGTCCCCTTAAGGATTCTCTTTCCCCCTCTCCTCTTTCCCTCTCTAAAATAAACAAACATCTTTAAAAAACGATTTCTGTTCTGCTACCATAATCAGAATACAAAATAGTCTCAGCATGCCAAAAAAACTCTCTCACTTAACAGTCACACTTTTCCCTACAACCCCACTAGTTTCCCCACAACCCCACTAGTTGTTCCTCCATCACTACAGTTTTGACTTCAGGACTGTCATGTAACTGTAATCCTAGGTAAAAACTTGTGACAGGATTCCGTCACTTAGTGTAATGTTCTTGATATTCATCTAAGATGTTACATTCAATAGTTTACTTTTTATTGCTGAGTATTTCACTGTATAGATGTTATCAGTTTATTCATCTTTTGAAGGATATTTGTTTTTCCAGGTTTTGGTGACTATAAATAAAATGACTCTAACCATTCATGTAGAGGTTTTTGTGTGATATAAGGTTTCATTTCTCTAGTGTAAATATGCAAGAATATGATTGCTGGCTCACATGGTAAATATATATTTAATTTTGTAGAAAGCTACTGAATTTTTCCCAGGATGGCTCTACCATTTGGTATTCTCCTCAGCAAGGTATAGAGAGTTCTAGTTCCTGTGCATCCTAACTAGTGGTTGGTATTATAAGTATTTTTTTATGTTATTATAGACATTGTAATAGGTATGCAGAGGTAGTTCATTGTGGTTTTGATTTTGCATTTCCCTCATGGTTAATGACATTGAATATTTTCTCACGTGCTTTTTTTTTTTTTTTTTTAAGATTTTTTTAGGGGGAATCCCTGGGTGGCTCAGCGGTTTAATTCCTGCCTTCGGCCCAGGGCATGATCCTGGAGTCCCAGGATCGAGTTCCACGTCGAGCTCCCTGCATGGAGCCTGCTTCTCCCTCTGCCTGTGTTTCTGCCTCTCCCTCTCTCTCTGTCTCTCATGAATAAATAAATAAACTCTTTAAAAAAATAACATTTTATTCATCCATTTGACAGAGACTATAAGCAGGTGGAATAGCAGGTAGAGGGAGAGGGAAGAAGCAGGATACTCTCCTCCCCACCCAGGTCATAACCGACGTCGAAGGCAGATCCTCAACCTACTGAGCCACCCAGGTGCCTATATATGTGCTTATTTGTCATTTGTATATCTCCTTATTAAAGTGTTCAAGTAAAATCTTTTTGCCCATTTTAATTGGGTTTTCTTGTTAATTTTTTCTTATTTTGAATTATGAGATTTCTTTATATATTCTGGATTCAAATCCTTAATCTGTTATGGGATTTGCAAATATTTTCTGCTAGCACATAGCTTGTTTTACATGCTCTTAACAGTATCTTTGAAGAGCAAAAGTTGATGAAGCCTAGCTTACCAGTTTTTTTTCAAGATTGTGCTTTTAGTATCAGATCTGAGAATTCTTAGTCTAATCCCAGATAATGAAGATTTACTCCTTTACTTTCTTTTAAAAATTTTATAGTTTTGCATTTTATATTTAGGTGTAGAATCCATTTTAAGTTAATTATTGAATAAGGTGTGAGGTTTAGTTTGGGGCTCATTGCTTTTACACATAAGATGTCCAGTTGTTCCAGTACCATTTGTTGAAGAGTACTCTTTCTCCATTGAATGGCTTTTGTACTTTTGTCAAAAATCAACGGGGCATATATATACATAGATTTATTTCTGGATGGTCTATTCTATTTCATTAATCTACGTGTCCTTTTTATAATACTACACTTTCTTGATTAGTATAGTTGTAGAGTGGGGAATAACAAACCACAGTCCATGAGATTAATTAAGGTAATTTACAGAAACTTTATTTTTGTAGATAAAGTTTATTGAAATACATCCACACCTATTTATTTGCATATTGTCAGTGGTTGCTTTTTGCTGTAATAGCTATCTATGATGGGACTCTATGATTTTTAAAACCTAAAACATTTACTAAATAACCCTTCACAGAAAATGTTTGCTAACTCTTGCTTTAGAAAACGTCTTAATATCACACATGATTTTTCCAACATTATTTCCCTTCTTCAAAATTTTGTTTGCTATTCTAGTTCCTATCCTTCTGTATAAATTTTGGAATCAGCTTCTCTGTATCTACGCAAAATCATTCTGAGATGTTGATTAGAATTGTATTAAATGTTTAGATTAATCAGAAGACAGCTGACATGCATACCATGATGAGTCTTTTGGTCCATAGCTATGGTGCCTGTCTCCATTTATTTTGGTCTTTGGTTACTTTAAGCAGTATTTAGAACTCCCTGAAGACCAAGACCAGGAACAGATGGCTTCACAGGTAAATTCAACCAAACATTTATTTTTTTTTCTAAATTTTAATTAAAATTCCAGCTAGTTAAAATACAGTGGGATATTTGTTTCAGGTGTAAAATTTAGTGATTCATCACTTACGTACAACATCCAGTGCTCATCACAACCTGTGCTCTCCTTAATGCCTGCCCATCACTTATTTAACCCATCCAGCCACCTACCTACATTCCAGTTTTCTATAGTTAAAAATCTGTTTCTTGGTTTGTTTTCTCCTCCCCCCAAAGTTATTCCATTTTGTTTTAAAAATGCCACATATGAGTGAAATCATACAGTGTTTGTCTTCCTCTGACTGACTTTGCTTAGCATAATACACTCTTGGTCTATCCATGTCATTGCAAATGGCAGAATTTCATTCTTTTTGATGGCTAAGTAATATTTTATTGTATATATAAATCATCTTTTCTTTATTCATTCATCAGCCCATGGGCATTCGAGCTCTTTCCATAGTTTGGCTATTGTTGATAATGCTACTATAAACAGCAGGATAGATGTGTCCCTTTGTATCTGTATTTTTATATCCTTTGGGTAAATATGGAGCAGTGCAATTGCTAGGTCATAGGGTAGTTCCATTTTTAACATTTTGAGGAACCTCTGTACTATTTTACACAGTGGTTGTACCAGTGGATTGCATTCCTGCCAATAGTGTAAGAGAATTCCATTTCCTCTCCATTCTCACCAACACCTGTTGTTTCCTGTGTTGTTAATTTTAGCCATTCTGAGTGGTGTGAAGTGGTGTCACATTATAGTTTTGATTTGTATTTCCCTGGTGATGAGTGATGTTAGGCATATTTTGATGTGCTGGTTAAGCCATCTCTATGTCTTCTTTAGAAAAATGTCTAGTCATGTCTTCTGCCCATTTCTTAACTGGATTATTTGTTTTTTGGATGTTGAGTTTGGTAAGTTCTTTATAGATTTTGGAAACTAATCAGATATGTCATTTGAAAAAATCTTCTTTCATTCTGTAGGTTGCCTTTTAGTTCCTTCACTGTGCAGAAGTTTCTTATCTTGATGAAGGTCCCGGTTGTTCACTGCTTTTGTTTCCCTTGCCTCTAGAGATGTGTGTAGTAAGAAGGTGCTACAGCTGAAGTCAAACAGATTGCTGCCAGGGTTCTCCTCCAAGATTTTAATGGTCTCCTGGCTCACATTTAGGTCTTTCATTCATTTTGAGTTTATTTTTTGTGTATGATGTAAGAAAGTGGTTCAGTTTCCTTTTTTTGCATGTAGCTGTCCACTTTTCCCAACACCATTTATTGAAGAGACTGTCGTTTTCCCATTGTATATTCATTCATCCTTTGTCAATTAATTGACCATATAATTGTGGGTTTGTTTCTGGGTTTTTAAATTCTATTCCATTGATCTAGGCATCTGTTTTTTTGTTAGCACCATACTGTCTTGATGACTACAGCTTTGTAATAGAGCCGGAAGTCCAGAATTGTGATGCCACCAGCTTTGGTTTTCTTTTTCAAGATTGCTTTGGCTATCAGGGGTATTCTGTGGTTCTATACAAATGTTAGGATGGTTTGTTCTAATTCTGTGAAAACTACTGGTGGTATTTTGATAGGGATAACATTAAATGTGTAGATT